TTTGACATCTTGTGAGTGTTTTGTATTTAGGGAACATTTCAACCAGGACTTGCCACATTTCAGGTGTTCCACAGCCACATGTAACTAGCAGCTACCAGTCTACTGGTACAGTACTGGTCTTGTGGTGGATTTTGGGGATAAGTGGGGCTGGCATTGCTGTGTAGTACATTAAGCCATTGCCTGTGACGTTGGCTGGTGTCCCATGTGGGTGCTGGTTTGTGTCCTGGCTTCTCTACTTCCAATCCAGCTCCTGGCTGATGGCCTAGGGAAGGTGATAGAGGGAGGCCCATGTTAGGCCCCTGCAACCAATGTGGGAGACCTGGATGAAGCTCCTAGCTCCTGGCTTCAACCGGGCCAACCCCAACTGTTGGCGGCCTTTTGAGGAGTGAACCCTGCAGGTGGGAGATACTTTCTTTCTATCTCTGTAATTGACTTTCAAATTAATTAATTAAAAAAAATTGTGATGGGTGCTGATTTGAGTCCCAGCTGCTCCTCTTCCAATCCAGCTTTCTGTTATGGCTTGGGAAAGCAATGGAAGGTGGCCCAAGTGCTTGGGCCCCTGCACCCGCATGGGAGACTGGGAAGAAGCACCTGGCTCCTGGCTTCTGCACAGCGCCGGCTGTAGCAGCCATTTTGGGGAGTCAGCCAACAGAAGGAAGACCTCTCTCTCTGTCTCTCTCACTGTCTAACTCTACCTCTCAAATAAATAAATAAAATCTTTTAAAAAAATTTGTGGATGAACTTAAAACTACCTGAAATTTCACTGGTCTTTGCTTTTATTGAGTCAAGCTATATTAGTTGTGGAAGTGTGATTGTTAGGATTAAAAATAAAGATTTCAAAAGCTCTTTGGAATAAAATTTTCTTAAAAACTATTTATTTGAAAGGTTGAGAAAAAAAGAGATACCTCCCATCCGCCAGTTTACTCCCCAAATGCCCACAACAGCTGAGACTGAGCGATGCCAAACAGAGCTAGGGGCCAGGAACTCCTCTGGGTCTCCACGTGGGGTCTGGCAGGAGCTCTACTACCTGAGCCGTCACCTGCTGCCTCCCAGGTGTGCATTAGCAGGAACCTGGAATCGGAGTTGGAGCTCAGACTTGAACCCAGGCAGCGCTGCGGACCTAGGTGCTCCAGATGGTGCTAACTGCAAAGCCAAACGCCTGCCTCTGCCAGGTGTCCCATGAGTGAGTGCTGTTTCTTAGTTACAGTTGTGCACACAGTTCTAGGATTCCACACTTACTACAGGAAAACACTGAAGCATTATTTACAGAAAACATCTTTTTTTAATAAAAATATGAAATGACAGTTATAAGATAAAAAAACTGTCGCATGTTTCTGGAAATTCTGGTAGTAAAAATACAAGAATGTCTCTACCTTAGGCTTAAAGTTTGCTAGTGTCAAGGATGGATTTGTTACTGTACATTGGACCATCTTCCTGGGTTAGGCTAGTGTGTCATTTCTTACCTAATGCTCTTGGACTGGTTTTCTTCTTGTGGAGTTTCTGGTTTGTTACTGGATCCTTGAAGCAGAAGACTGCCCGTGTGCTGCCCTTGTCAGCCGGGAGGATGATGCTGTTGCTTTCTCCACGGGGCCTTGTGCGTGGAGGCAGGAGAGGAGAGACAGTTGCTGGCTGTTCGGTGCCGTCTGCCTCAGGTCAGGCTCTGTCTTCTGGGGATGAAAGGACGTTTTCTGTTTAAGCTGCGGCTCTGCGTCTGGTAGGTGTCCCTCAGTCTGGCTGGTTGTGTAGGGTGCAGGGCAGAGTGCCGGGGACCTTGCGTCACTAGGATTTGTTCTCTGTCGACAGAGCCCTGAATTCAAGAGCTCCTTCTCATCAGCTGCTGGTCTGACCTTCAGCTTCCTGGAGTTCTCATTTTCCGAGTTTTCTTCTTTTCTAATGATAAAAGTAACTTATGCTAATTGAGAAATGTTGAGTTAGAGACTCCAGAATGAAGTGAATTCTTCCCGTTTCCTTCTGTGGGCCGAAGGAACCATTGACCCGTTTTGTGGGCCCCCTTTGTGTATCTCTTGGGAAAACCAAGCTTCTGAGTCCACATTGCAATCCAGGGGACCGCCTAGGACTTAGAGGAAAGGCCTTTCATTCTTCCCTCCCTGGAAAGCTATCAGGGAGGGAAGAAAAATACTTTTGATAAAACAATCCTCCAGAAGCCTGAAGCACGAACTCTGAGGAGAGAGTGAGGAAGGAGGCTGGAAACTGACCCTGTGAAGATCCTAGTTCAGAGAGACTCATGCGATCTTTGACACTGGGCGTTGGGATGGGTTCTGAGAAAAACCTCCAAGAGTGTGGGGGCCTGGAGGCCCGCTGAAGAAGGAATATCATGTAAGAGGGGGGCCAGCATCGGGGCACCTGCGATGCTGCTCCAGTGTTGGAGCCCTGGTTCCAGTTCTGGAGGTTCTACTCTGACCCAGCTTTCTGCTGACGCACCTGGGAAAGTCACGGATGGTGGCCTAAGTACTTGGACCCATGCTACCACGTGGGAGACCCAAATGGAGGTCCTGGCTCCTAGCTTCAGCCTGGCCCAGTCCTGTTGGTTGTGACCATTTGAGGAGTTAACCAGCAGATGGACTATCTCTGTCTTTCCCCCTCTCTCTGTCACTCTTTCAAATAAATAAAATTTGTTAAAAAAAAAAAAAGAACATCGTGTAAGAGATAGTGAGCTGCTGTGCATTATGCCGATGGAGTTGCTGGGGAGCGACAGTCTCGCTGGGGGCAGGGGCGCTGTACCTCTCTACCCAGGGCACCTGGCCACCTGTGGTCACTTGGCACTTGAAGTATTGTTGGTTCCCCCTGAGATGTGCTCTCAGTGTGAAACACAGACTGGACATTGAAGACTGAGTGTGAAAAAAGATTGAGATACTTCAATAAATTTCTATACTATCATTTATTTGAAAGAGTTACACAGAAAGAAAAGGAGAGAAAAAGAGAGAGGTCTTTCATCCACTGGTGCATGGATCTGAAGCCAGGAGCCAGGAGCTTTTTCCAGGTCTCCCACATGGGTGCAGGGGCCCAAGGACTTGGGCCATTTTCTACTGCTCTCCCCAGGCCATAGCAGGGAGCTGGATTGGAAGTGGAGCAGCTGGGACTCCAACCAGTGCCCATATGTGATGCCGGCACCGTGCTGGCCCCTATATACTATCTTTGACATAATATTTTGTATATTTTGGGTTAAATAAAATGTTACTAGGAGTCACCTGTTTGTTTCTCTCTCTCTTTCTTTCAAGATTTTATTTATTTACTTGAAAGTAAGAGTTACAGAGAGGCAGAGAGAGAGAGAGAGAGGGAGCGAAGAGAGGGTTTCCATCTGCTGGTTCACTCCCCAGCTGGCCCCAGTGGCCAGGGCTGTGCTGACCCGAAGCTACCAGCCAGGAGCTTCATCCGGGTCTCCCACACGGGTGCAGGGGCCCAAAGACTTGGGCCATCTTCTGCTGCTTTCCCAGGCCATAAGAGAGAGCTGGATGAGAAGTGGAGCAGCTGGGACTCAAACTGGTGCCCATATGGGATGCCGGCACTGCAGGCTGTGGCTTTAACCCACAGCACCACAGCACCGGCCCCTACCTGTGGTTTCTTTAAAGGAGATTTTTATAGACTTTATTATTAGGTCAGTTTTTAGGTTCTCAGCAAAATTGAGTGAGAAGTTTTGCATATGCCTGCTGCACCCTCCTGGTTGCTAACTTCCTGTGCTAGAGTGGGACATTTATTGCGATGAGTGAACCCGTGTTGCCACATTGTTATCCCCGAGGTTCGTGGTTTACTTAGGGTCCGCTGTGGTGTTCATTCTGTAGCTGCAGGTGCGTGCACAAGGGTGGGTATTCACGCTAGTGCCCTGCAGAGTATTCCCACTACTCCAGAAAGCCTGTGCTCCACTGCCTGCCCACTCCCTTGCCCAGCTCCTAGCGACCAGCGCACACTGCCTGCCCACTCCCTTGCCCAGCTCCTAGCGACCAGCGCACACTGCCTGCCCACTCCCTTGCCCAGCTCCTAGCGACCAGCGCACACTGCCTGCCCACTCCCTTGCCCCAGCTCCTAGCGACCAGCGCTCTCTTACCATCTCCAGAGCTTCGTGTCTCCAGAATGTTACACGGTGGGGCACACAGCAGGTAGCGCTTTGGGTGCTCATGCTGAGTAGCTCGTCTCTTTGTAGCACCGAAGTTCACTGTGCGCACTGCACAGTCCACTTGGCTGCTCACCTGCTGAAGACGTCTTGGCTGCTCCCACTTTGGGCAGCTACAAGTAGAGCTTCTGTAAACCTCTGTGTGCGGGTTTCTGTGTAGGCCCGAGTTTGCAGTTAATTTGGTAACCATCAAGCATTGCGATTGCTGGGCTGGGTGATGAGAGTGTGTTCGGTTTTGTGAGAATTGCTAAAGCCAACTTTCCAAATGGCTGTCCCCGTTTTGAATTCCCGCAGCACTGAGTGCATCTCTGTTGGTCCATGTCCCTGCCAGCATTTGGTGTCCGCGTCGTCCTGCAGTTTGGCCATTCTCATAGGTGCTAGTGATGTCATTGTCTTCACCTGTGGTTTGTGTTTTGTTTTCTAAAAGTTAGGTGGCTCGTATTTGTGGCGTGTGCGTCTCGCAGGAGTTTGGAGAGGAAGGGAGAAGCAGGCAGGGGCAGCTGGCGGGGCGTGCGTTGGAGATGGAGGTGCTTTGCTTCTTCAGGAGGAGGTAGCGACGTGCTTGCACCCTGATGGAAATGACGCTGGAAGGAAGGCAAAGCCAGCAGCTGGTGTGGTACGGGAGGAGTCTGTGGCACAGTGTCCCACACGATGCGGGTAAGGTCTGCTGCATCTCGGCAAGAAGGTGGTTTGGTCAGGAGCAGGGAGAGCAGAGTATGTGGGCCTCCCAGTGCAGACGGTGGACGGGTTGCAGGGTCCTGGGAAACACACCGCCAAGTGCTTTTCCAAAGAAGATGAACCTCCCCGTCACAGTCGGCGGTCTGCCAGCCTGCCTTGGCCCTCCGTGCTCCCCAGCGCTGACTGTGAACCTTCCCGTCACAGTCGGCGGTCTGCCAGCCTGCCTTGGCCCTCCGTGCTCCCCAGCGCTGACTGGGTGAACCTTCCCGTCACAGTCGGCGGTCTGCCAGCCTGCCTTGGCCCTCCGTGCTCCCCAGCGCTGACTGGGTGAACCTTCCCGTCACAGTCGGCGGTCTGCCAGCCTGCCTTGGCCCTCGGTGCTCCCCAGCGCTGACTGGGTGAACCTTCCCGTCACAGTCGGCGGTCTGCCAGCCTGCCTTGGCCCTCCGTGCTCCCCAGCGCTGACTGGGTGAACCTTCCCGTCACAGTCGGCGGTCTGCCAGCCTGCCTTGGCCCTCCGTGCTCCCCAGCGCTGACTGGGTGAACCTTCCCGTCACAGTCGGCGGTCTGCGAGCCTGCCTTGGCCCTCGGTGCTCCCCAGCGCTGACTGGGTGAACCTTCCCGTCACAGTCGGCGGTCTGCCAGCCTGCCTTGGCCCTCCGTGCTCCCCAGCGCTGACTGGGTGAACCTTCCCGTCACAGTCGGCGGTCTGCCAGCCTGCCTTGGCCCTCCGTGCTCCCCAGTGCTGACTGGGTGTTGCCATGTCCTGTCCCCCCACTTCTAAGGCTCAGGTCCATGACTGCTTTGCTGCTCCCCTTCCTCACCAGTTCCTCCAGAAGGCTTAGAAACCTCCATCCTTTTCCTGTGCCCCAGATGAAAATCTCTGTACCTCCTTGCCTTAACTCATCTCCCTGGATTTTTTTTTAAGTCTTACGTATTTGCAAGGCAGAGTGACAGAATGGCAGGACAGATCCACCCTCCGCTGGTTCACTTCCCAAATGGCTGATTTTGAAGCTGGAACTTCATCTGGGTCTTCCACTTGGGTGACAGGGGCCCATGTACCTTGACATCTTCAAGTGCTTTCCCACGTGCATAGCAAGGAGCTGGATCAGAAGTGAGGCAGCTGGGACCTGAATGGTATTCATATGGGGTGCCGGCATCCCAGGCAGTGGCTTTTCCTGCTGCATCGGCATCTGCATCTTTAGTTTCACAGATCTTAAACATTTTAGGAATAGCCCTGGAGACTGACTTAGTATCATCAGTGCTGCATTATGAAAGCTGAGGATTCTTTTTCAAGAAGCAAGTACTCTGTGGTCACTGGTGTTTGAGTGCTGGTCAGCCTTTGGCCTGGCTGTCCTTGGGCCAAGTGAGTATGGTCACGGTAGAGGGCTGGGGTTGACTGGGCACTGCCCTTGGCCTGACCACCGCTGTCAGCACAGCGTTGGCATGACTTGGGACTGGCCAGGTTTGCAAGTGGCTACTTTGGAATTACTTCAGGTCACTTAGGTTTCAGATGCTAGTTGCCTTGTTCCATTTAGTCTCCCACTAAAAGCCTTGCCCGGCTCTGTTCTAATTAAGTGGTTCTCTCCCATCCCCTGCAGTACTTTCTGGGTCTTGCTGTGAAGACTGCTCATACACTACTAAAATGGGCACTGTGGTTTCTAAGAATCATCAGATTTTGAAGATGATTCTGACCATCATCTGAGAAGTTAGTAGTCCTTAAATGTCAGCTTTTCATTTCACCTTAATAGATTGTGTTGTAACAATCAGTGGAGAGCAGTGTGACAGAGAAATATGTATTTCCAGAACTATACGTCTGCTGCTGTTATGGAGTTCTTTCAGTCTTTTAGTTGTATGGGAAGTGAATACAGAGACTATAGTATTCACAAAAAATTCCTTCCTTCCTTCCTTCCTTCCTTCCTTCCTTCCTTCCTTCCTTCTCTCTCTCTCTTCCTTTTCTCTCTCTTCCTTCTCTCTCTCTTGCTTTCCTTTCCTTTCCTTTCCTTTCCTTTCCTTTCCTTTCCTTTCCTTTCCTTTCCTTTCCCTCTTTCCCTCTTTCCCTCTTTCCCTCTTTCCCTCTTTCCCTCTTTCCCTCTTTCCCTCTTTCCCTCTTTCCCTCTTTCCCCTCTGCCTCTCTCTGCCTCTCTCTGCCTCTCTCTGCCTCTCTCTGCCTCTCTCTGCCTCTCTGTAACTCTACCCTTCAAATAAATAAATAAATCTTTTTAAAAAAATTCCCAAGGGCTGGCACTATGGTGTATCAGGTTAAACCACCCCCTGTAGCACCAGCGTCCCATATGCGCACCAGTTCGAGTCCTGGCTCTTCCACTTTCCATCCAGCTCTCTGCTAATGCACCTGGGAAAGCAACAGAGGATGGCCCAAGTGCTTGGGCTCCTGTACCCACATGAGAGACCCGGAAGAAGCTTCTGGCTCCTGACTTTGGCCTGACTCAGCCCTGGCTGTTGTGGCCATTTGGGGAGTGAACTAGTGGATGGAACACTTCTCTCTCTGTCCCCCCCACCCCATGCCATTCTGTAACTCTGCCTTTCAAATAAATAAATAGCTGTAAAAAAATAAGTAAATAAATCCTAGAGGGGCTGGCCTTTTGGCACAGTGGATTAAGCCACTGCCTATGACGCTGGCATCCCATATCAGAGTGATGCTTCCAGTCCAGCTCCCTGCTTAATGTGCCTGGGAAAAGCAGTAAAAGATGGTCCAGATACCTGGGCCCCTTCCACCCACCTGGAGACCCAGGCGGAGTTCTGAGCTATGGGCTTTGGCAGCCAATGTGGCCATTTGAAAGTGTCTGAACCAGTGGATAAAAGATCTGTCTGTCTGTTACTCTGCCTTTCAAATAAATGAATACAAAATTTGAAAAATCCTAGAGAAAACTCACTTTCATGGTCACTATTTTTTAAAAAAAATGCTGTTTGGCTGGTGATACAGTGGATTAAGTTGCTGCTTGATACTGACACCCCATATCAGGGTGCTGGTTTGAGTCCTGGCTACTCTGCTTCCATTCCAGCTCCCTGTTAATGTACCTGAGAAGGCAGCAGAAGATGATCTGGGTGCTTGGACCCATGCCATCCATGTGGGAGACCAGGATGGAGTTCCTGGCTCTTGACATTGGCCTTGGCTTGGCACAAACCTGGCTGATGTGGTCATCTATGGTGTGAATCAGCAGATGGAAGATCGATCTCTCTCTCACTCACTCACTCACTCTCACTCTTTCGCATGTATACACACTTTTTTCCTCTCTTTTACTTTGCCTTTCAGATAAATAAATAAATATGAAAAAAATGTAGCACTACTTAATTTTTAAAAAATCTTAGAAATATGACATTGAATTTTAACTTTTTTTTTTTTAAGATTATTTATTCAAAAGTCAGAGTTACACAGAGAGAGGAGAAGCAGAGAGACAGAGAGAGAGGTCTTCTGTCTGCTGGTTCACACTCCAAATGGCCACCACAGCCAAATCTGGGCCAAGAACTCCGTCTAGTTCTCCCGCATGGGTGGCAGGGGCTCAGGTTCGTGGACCATTTTCTGCCTCCCCAGGCAGATAGCAGGAAGCTCTGTCAGAAGCAGAGAAGACAGGTCTCAAACTGGCAGTTCTTGATGGGATGCCGGTGTAGCAAGTGGCAGCTTAATCTACTCCACCGTAACACTAGTTCCTGCCTGTTTTTGGAAGAGAATATTGTAGGTATTTTAGCAACCCAGTAGTCCCTGGGTTTCAGGACAGGTAACTAATAAAAGATTGTGTAGACCGGCGCCGCGGCTCACTAGGCTAATCCTCTGCCTTGAGGCGCCGGCACACCGGGTTCTAGTCCCGGTCGGGGCGCCGGATTCTGTCCCGGTTGCCCCTCTTCCAGTCCAGCTCTCTGCTGTGGCCCGGGAGTGCAGTGGAGGATGGCCCGAGTATTTGGGCCCTGCACCCCATGGGAGACCAGGATTAGCACCTGGCTCCTGGCTTTGGATCAGCGTGGTGCGCCAGCCGCAGCGCCCCAGCCGTGGCGGCCATTGGAGGGTGAACCAACGGCAAGGGAAGACCTTTCTCTCTGTCTCTCTCTCTCTCTCACTGTCCACTCTGCCTGTCAAAAAATTAAAAAGATTGTGTAAAAAATCCAGAAAATTTAGGCGGGCAGCCATCTGCTCTACCAGGTAGCAGCTGCACCCTCTAGCAGAATGAGTTTGCATCCAGCCTTCTGTTAATGTGCACCCTGGTGATGGCTCAAGTGATTGGGACCTTGCCACTGTGTGGGAGACCCGGGTTGAATTCCTGGCTCCTGGTTTCAGCTTGGCCCAGCCCCGGTCCAGCCATAGCCACTGTGGGCATTTGGGAAGTAGAGAGAGAAAAGGGAAGAAGGAGGGAAGGAGAAGAGAAAGGAAAAATTAGGAAAATTGTGGTTGGATAAGCAGAACAAAGTGGGAATGGGTGACTTGGACTAGTTCCTTCAGTGAACCTCTGCTGGGTGCCGGCACATGCTGTGTGCATCCGGGGCCTTTAGAACTGTGTAGTGTCTGAAGAAAAGATGACGTGGTGCAATAAATGTACGATAGTCTGCTGTGCAGGGTCGTGGTGGGTACAGCTGTGTGGCAGCGTGTGCTGGTTGAGGGATGGGGCGCACCTTTGGCAAGGCTTTGGCTGTGTGGGGACTGTGAGGCGTTTCAGCTGGTGAGTGGCACAGAGACAGCAGCTCAGCTGGGTGTCATGCTTGACCCTTTCCTGAGGCTGTGACCCCACTAGGCAGTGGTCTAAGGCAAGGTGTTCCGGTGCAGTTCCGTGTGAGGGGTGGTTCCTGGGGGAGACCAGGGCCTGTGGGAAGCAGACAGCCCTGAGGCTGGGCACCGCAGGGAGCCGAGGCCTGGGAAGGGAGGGCGGCACCAGCACAGGCACACCTACTTTCTATGATCCCTGGCTTTAGCTGTCACTGCCCTTAAGTCATCTGGATTGTGCTGTTGATTTTACTGTTTTTATGCCCAAAAAGGCTGTTTTCTTCATGTGTAGTAAGCGTTTACCTATGTAATCATGAAGTTTGAACTTTTCATGTTTAATTTTATTTTTGGGGGAATACTACTTTTTAAACTAGCATAGAATATAAGCCTAGCAGGAAACAGAATGGATGCTACAGATTGAATATCCTTTATCTAATATTCTTGGAACTAGAAATATTTTGGAATTTGGATTTTTCCGATTTTGGAATGTTTGTGTATATGTAATGAGATACTGTGAAGGTGGGACTCAAATCTGAACATGAAATACATTTTTGTTTCATATATGCCTTATAGATATTTATTTATTGAGGCCAGTGCCATGGCATGATGGGCTAAACTTCTGCCTGCAGTGCTGGCATCCCATATGGTCACCGGTTCTAGTCCTGGCTGCTCCTTTTCTGATCCAGCTCTCTGCCCAGCTCTGGCTGATGTGACCATCTGGGGAGTGAACCTGTGGATGGAAGACCTTTCTATCTCTCCCTTTCTCTGTAACTCTCAAATAAATAAAGAAAATCTTTTAAAAATAGATTTATTTATCTGAAAGGCAGGGTTACAGAGAGGCAGAGGCAGGTACCTTTACCTGCTACGCTACAGCACCAGTCCCAGCCTGAGGGAAATTTTATGCAGTATTTTTGGTGTGCTTGCATTTTGACTGTGACCCATTACATTGAGGTCAAGAATAGAATTTTATTTTTTATTTATTTTTTAAAGACAATTATTTATTTGAGAGGCA